AAAACATTTGCAATCATAATTAAAATATTGATATCTTTTCAGCAAGAGTTTTCCCTGTGTGTTTACTAGAAGTACCAACCGTACATAAAACAAAACAAAACAAGAAATAATAAGTCAAAAGAAAAGCAAAAAACATAAAAACAAAACATAAAAAGGAAACAAAAAAAAATGGGTACGCAGGTATTCAAAATCTACGCATCATACTATATGAAAAACAACATACCTATAGGCAGGATTTGAGACAGACAGACAGACAGACAGACAGACAGACAGACAGACAGACAGACAGACAGACAGGCAGACAGGCAGTGTATGTGAGAGAGAAGAGGTGCAAAATATTTTTGAATCCGGATATCTGGATATCCTTATTTCTGGATTTATTCGAAAAATTAGCACACTTGATAAAGAAAGTGGAACGGAAATAAAATTGTGTTATAATTAGCCAATGTGGGGAGGGCAAACAGAGTAGTCACTCTCGAAAGGTCATCAGTCTTGAATGAAGAACCATAATAGTTGTTGCAAACACAATTACAGTAATGTTAAATATCAACTTAGGGAAATAAAATTCTTTGTGAATTGAGCTTGATTTACGGGGCATCATCGATTTGTACGTGTAAGGCTCATCATCCCTATGCCTTATATATTTGGGGGTCATATTGGAAGCATGTAGTCGCTCCTCCTCTCAGGGTCGACTCCGATTCGAACATTGATTTGTTTTCACGCGAAGATCCACGTAATAAAAACTTGTGTTTAATCCTAAATACAACTGAAGATTTTTCAGCCTGTGTGAAAGTTTTACGGCATTTGCAACACAAACAGGTCAGTCGTATAAGTGTCGGAGATAAAAATGTGTTAGACGAGAGTATTATACAGAGGGTAATACTTTTACGGCACCTGAATCAAACATAGGTCGTACAAGTGCCGAAGATCAAATGTGTTACAAGAGAAAATACAAAGAGTTAGTAAAAGTTTTACGGTACTTGCATCACACCAAAGTCATAAAAGTGCAGGAGATTGACTGTGTTAGTAGAGAGTAACTTACAAAGAAAAGAAGGACGGAGAGATAAGGAAGATAGCAGTTGTCTGATATGAAAGAAGGAGCATCCACATTAGAGCACCCGCTAACCATCCAACAGTGAAGATTTAACGTACTGAAATAGAGAAACAGATTTCATCTCTTTTGTATTTGTGACACTAGCTCTCTTGTCGTGATGTCTGTCCAAAACACAAGTGGCGCTCTGACCTTGACCTTGATCGACAACGTCACGCTATGTTGTCTGCCACGGGTCATGGGAGGTCAGAGGTCCGGGTTAATCAGTGACGCTGTGTCGACCATAGTCACGGATCTCGTTCTACGGGTGGTCGTTCAATTCGTGCTGGGCGTCTTTTGCATCGGAGCCAACATCATCAACATGACCGTCTTCATCAAGATCGGCTTAGAGGACAGTATCACCGTTGCCTTTTTTGCCCTGGCCATCTCCGATTTGATGTTTGTGGGGTTTTACTTAGCGGTCAGCGTCTTAGCCATGTTGCATAACGTATTCAAGCTGCGGCAGTACGTTCAGTTTAATTCTCTCGGATTCCTGCTCGTCTGGTACAGCTATGCCTTCTTCGATGCCTCAGTGCTGATCACCGTGTTCCTTGCAGTACAGAAGTGCGCATGCGTAGCCATCCCCTTATTGTTTAAAAAGGTCTTCACTAAGTCCCGGAGCGTCGTTGTGGTAGTCGTCATTTACGTAGGTACTTTCACTTGGTATATGCCCCTGCTCAGCCAGCAGGGAATGAGAGATAGGTTCGACCCACGGACAAACACGACGACTCTGATCTACAAATTCCCACCTCACATTAAGCTGATGCTGCAGTTATTCAAGTCTGTCAGCCGGAGCGTGTTGCCAGGAGTTTCTCTTTCTCTCATCATCATCTCCGTCATCGTCCTCACCATTAAACTCAAACAAGCCAGCAAGTTCCGAAAGGCTTCCGCCTCCCATGGCAACAAAGACAACAACAAAAACTCCGACGCATCTTCTACGAAACAAAACTCGAGCTCCAACAAAGAGCTTCGGGTTATCAAAGCCGTGACCTTGGTTTCGACCATCTTCGTCGTCTGTTATATCCCAAGCATCGTTGTCTCTTGTTGCCAGATCATTTTCCCCGGGCTGTCCGACAAAGGAAGGTACAAAAACATGAGGAGGCTTGTGGACGAGATAAACAGCGTCCTGACTACGGTCAACTCGTCAGTGAACATTTTCATATATTTCTATTTCAACACTCGCTACAGGGAGCAGCTAGTCGATCTGATTGCCCAGTTCCGTAGATCTACAGCCAGATAGAATCAAGAGGAAGAAATAATCTTCAGATTTTGAAAAGCTTAGAATAATTGACGAGGAAAATTATAATCCGAATAGAGTTTTTGTTAAATATGTGTTGTTTTTTTATTTTAATTCACTCTAAACAAAATGGTGTTTTTTAGAAGGAGGATGGGGGAGGCAGCACATGAATATATGCCGTTGGGAAAATACATTTAGAATCACCCGCAATGGTGGATCATTGCGATAATTAGAAATGGTTGACTGTTTTTCTTACGGCACGTATTTTACACCTTTATTAATTACCCTCAATGTATGCTCACTTATGAACCTGTCCAACGCTCACATTAAAAAGTTATTCACTTTGGTTGTGTGAAACTAACTGTATTAAAACAATAAAACATAGGAAATATAAAATATTTCTTAAATACTTGTCTTTATTATATGTGTGTCCAAGAGATCACTCCCCCACCCCCTCACAAATAAAACAACCCCTCCCCCAAAAAAAAACAACCAAAAAAACAACAACCCCAAAACCCCAAACAAAACCAGGCGTTTAAACACAAATAAAAAGTATAAATGATCTTTTACACAATATTACACCATTACAGACACATTTTAAGAACATGTCATTGCCGGTCGACACAGAACAGCGGCTTTCTTTTTCTTACTATTCCAATTCAGCGACGGATATTTTGACTTGCTAATGAACGCACGTCGATGACAAACAATCTTTACCCACTAGTCACTGACTCTTTTTTCTTTTTATTTCTGTGAGTGAAATGTTAGTTTGTGCAATGGACAGAGTCGGTGTGAAAGCAATAGTGGATTATCAAGTTATTTAATTAAAATACAAGTATACAACCAGACTGTAAACTCTAACTCGGATATCGCCTGAAAATTCACAATTTCTAAACCACAACCAAATCGTTCAATGAGGAAATCATCATTCAATCAATGAACAGTGGAGAATACTTTCAGATTTCTTCTACTTGTGTAAGAGGTCACAGTTTTTAGTAAAATGTTAATTGATATTTGGGTTCCATTGCACTGGAGACGAAAAGGTGGAAGAGGAAGTGAAAGTTTGTATTTCTGTGTATGTGTTTGTGTGTGTGTGTGTGTGTGTGTGTATGTGTGTGTGTGTGTGTGTGTGTGTGTGTGTTTGTGTGTGTGGGTGTATGTGTGTGTATGTATGTGTGTGTATGTGTGTGTGTGTCTGTGTATGTGGGTGTATGTGTGTGTCTGTGTGTGTGGGTGTATGTGTGTGTATGTATGTGTGTGTGTATGTGGGTGTGTGTCTGTGTGTGTGGGTGTATGTGTGTCTGGGTGTGTGGGTGTATGTGTGTGTATGTGTGTGTGTGGCTGGAAGAGGAGTGGGGAGGGATGTAAATGTAAATATATTTTAGTTATTGTGACACCAATACACATGGATTGTATTTGAATCACACAAACATACTTTTGTCATAATTTGGACAAGTCTGACCAAATTTAATTCAAATCTGGATTGCACTTGTGACAACTTGGTTGATGACTGACTTTAGAATAATTATTCGCTATTGGTATGTCTTCTCTTGATCAGTCTACTGTATTTCATTATCAGATAACCAACTCCACCTCATCCAGTGAAGTGTTGGGATCTGTCATTCAAAGTGTTGCCAAAATAGCTAGACAATGTTTCGAGTGACTTTTGAAATATGAAGTTGATAAACAATGAAAACCAATCATTGATAGATACTAATGAATAACTCTCCAATCAATCTTTTATTTTGTATTGGCGCCCCACTGGCGCATGAGCGATGAATTACAGCTCTCGATAGATAGATGGATGGATAGATTGATAGATATATGGATGTATATGTATGTATAGATAGCTGGACAGATAGTTGGTTGGATCTTTTATTTTTGATTCTCAAAATTGTCTTTGAAAGTATGATTTACAGCACCAGAGAGTTTTTCGAGATGAAAATAAAAATTTACTTCCCGATAAGAACAAATTTTCTGAACAAACATTAGATTTAGGCCTACTCACTATAAATGTATTTTAGTGCGGTGCGAAATGTTTTTGAATGTGCCTAATTTTACTTGTCCTATTTTTTCGTGACGTCGCTCACATCCTAATGACGTTTTCCGGTTCCAGACGAAGTGTTTAGGAATTGGAAGTCAATGTAGACTTTTTATTATTACTAGCGATGCAAACGATTTACTTTAAACGTAGACGATGATTCTTTGTTTGGTAAACACTCAACGGTAAGACCCATGACTAACGCTGTTGTGCAGATTCATTGCCTACTGTATGTATTTTAATAGTTCTAGATCTGTGATATCTTATTTGTATCGTCTAACACTTGTCTGACACATGTCTGAACCGGTATGTCTGTTATGAAAGGAAACTGCAAAAATAAAACGTGTCTCTTTAAAAGCTAACCCTGCCAATTCTGTCTAGAATCTAAATTGTCCAGCTGCAAGCGAGATAGATCTAACTTGTCGTTCAGACCACGAGTGATATGCTTGCTGACTGGGGTGAACTCTCAGCCCGGGAACCTGGAGCGGACGGTGTACAGGAAGGCCCTGTGCTGGAGGACTGTGTGCAGAAACTGGATCTGAGTGAACGAGCCACGCGGAGCAAGTCTTTTAGGAAGACAGCGGTATGGGTGATTAAGTGTCCTGTGAGAGCCTGTCCATTGACGTCCTGGGAGTCGCAATCCATCCCTCGAGCGCCAGCGGGGCTGCCAATACTGAGAACGTGTTGCCTACATTATTGTTATTTTGAGTTTCCCACTTGAGAGGACTTCGGTAACGAACGACCAGTATTAAATCTAGATTATATTCAATGGCTTCCAAAATCCTGATGGGAGACCGAAAGCCACTGTTATACCAT